ATTCAATCAGATTTTGTAAAAAAAATAAAATAAAATAAAATCATGCATTCTCCACCTTGGAGATTCACCCACATCTTGACCTGAGACCTGTTCTCTAGCATTTTTCCTCTGTAGAAGTCCATGGTTTCTGTTTAACTCATCCCTTTCTCCTCTCTCTCTCTCTCTCTCTCTTTCTCTGTCTCATGATCTCTCTCTTGTTATCTCTCTCATCTGAAATTTCTCCAAATATTTTACTTCAAAAATTAAAATAAAGTCTCTTATATGACTCTAATAACATATAAAATATAAAGCCCATTTACATTCTTAAATCTGCTTCAAATCTTTAACTCTAAAATTCTAAGACACTTACCGAATATGTCCATTAAGACCACCTCCACTGGGAGGTATGGTGCCGCCAGCAGGTCAATCTGTACCTGTGAGGCAAGTGCATCAACAGCCTTATGGCGCCTTCTGACTTCCAGATACCCCAAAATTGCTGCTGTGCCTTTGGCCAGACCCCAAAAACTTGGGGCAAAGTTTACTAAGAAAGTAAATGGCCAAAAGTTAGGTATGTGGGAGACACACCCACAAACCATCTCTGGCTCAGCTATATAATTGGAGGCATGGCCTCTCTGGTTCCTGATCGAACTGCTTAAAGGCCATGATCCCAGAGACTCAGAAACAAATCTCGAAACCCAGTGACTTTTAGCTGAAATGCGTCCAGTCCCTGTAGTAGGTTACCAGTGCTGGGCCAACCAAGGTTGGAATAGGTTTCATGCCTTGGCCTGTTCGCCTGGTGGCCCAGTGGCCGCCATCCTCCAGAGGCCACTGGACAGTCAGGTTTGGGCCCACAGTGACGAGACACATGGGGCCTCACGGGATGGGAGTGGAGCCGGCCCTTTCCTCCCCACACCAACGAGACCCCGAGTCGCCGCCCATGAATGGCCTCTCTGTCTCCTCATCAAGCTGCTTAACAGCCACGATCCCAGAGACTCAGAAACAAATCTAGAAACCCAGCGGTTTTGGGCAGAAATGCGTCCAGACCGTTCAGTAGGTTACTGTCACGGGGCCACCCCAGGGGGGAAAGGGTGTTGTCCCTCTGCCTGCTCCCCCTAGGCGGCTTGGTGGCATCCATCCTCCAGAGGCCATTGGACAGTCAGGTTTGTGCCCTCAGTGATGAGACATGTGGAGCCCCATGGGATGGGAGTGGAGCTGGCCTTTTCCTCCCTGTCCCAACGAGACCCCGAGTCGCCGTCCATGAACGGCCTTTCTGGCTCCTGATCAAGCTGCTTAAGGACCATGATCCCAGAGACTCAGGAACAAATCTTGAAACCCAGCAAGTTTGGGCAGAAATCCCTCCAGATTTTAGTATTAAAATTTTGGAATTTCAAAATTGCGCGGCCACTACTGCAGCCACACAACATCATATGTTATTCATAACCAGCAATAGAAAACAAATTGTCTACTGTTGCCTTTTCAGCAGATCTGAGTGTTGAGGAAAAATCTCTTAAAATAATGGTGGGTCTGGCTGCTGTCAAAATATTAAAATTGATCAAAGTAGAGAGAGTAAGGTGGAAATCATCTGCCCCACAGGTAGGGGGAGGGTGTGGGATAGGGGTATACTGGGGTTGTTGGGGGTAGAGAATGGACACTGGTAAAGGTATGGGTGTTTCATTGTATGACCGAGACTTAGACCCGAAAGCTTTGTAACTGCTCTCACAGTGATTCAATAAATAAAATTATAAAAAATGAAAAAAAAAGTTGGAGTTCATGCCCAATTCAATCAGCAAATCAGTGGCTGAATAAATAGCAGTACTCCTACATTTAAAAAAAAAAGACCACCTCCATTTATTTTTAGGCTTTTGGTAATGCTTTTCACACAAGGCTGCCCTTTCTAATAAGTATCCCCATGCTGAGAACCCAGGCAGTAAAATTCCTTTGCTAGCTGAGGGGACAGCCGCTGATGGTCCCCGAGGCAGAGGGGTCCCCTAGTGGTGAAGCAGACACTCAGGTTGGCTAACACAGTCCTGAGATAGCTTCTCGAGGGTGTGTGATTAATAGATACTAACATCTACCCAGCTTTCCTTCTTTAATCATATCTGGAAGCCCTAATATTTAGTAGGGTTATCATTTAGAACCCAAAATTGGGTTTAGAACCTTTAGAACAGTTATAACCTTTCATTGGGATTTTTTTTTTAAAGAATGTGAGCTATAGCATTGTATTCTATTTTGCTGTGCTCTGTTGTCCACACCAGCACATAGCATTTAGCTCTTCCTCTCTGTCAGGCCTGGGCACACGCAGAGACAGATCAACTGGAACCACACACACCCTTACCAGGCTTACTACTCTTTCTTCCCAGTACAATAACACGACATTAAGGATGGAGCTAGAAACAACAGGAAGATTGGGAAGTACAAGTCATCATCATATGACCTTTGATGGATTCTTAGTAACAGGAAAACCTGGAAGTGTTGCCCACCCTCCACTACCCCTCCACCACCCCCAAGAGTTAAATACCCAAACAGGGCAGCATCTGAGGTTATTCGACAAAAGATATTTGAATGAAAGAGTCAAAGGAAAGAGAGGTTGTACTCTGGCTGAAGCACACCAGAGTCGGGAGGTGTCTAGCAGTAGGGAGGGAAACCTTTACCAAGTACTCGGTGGGCTTGAAACACTACCCTAGGTTCTAAAATGTTATCGCCTTCTGCCTGATGTGTCTAGAGGTCAGACTTTTCCCAAAATAAGAAATCAAGACTGGGAGAGGTAAGAGGTGGTGTGCCCAAGACCATACAGTTAAAGGTAGAGGCTGCCTGGAGCCAGGAATAAGAATGGTAACGTTAAAAAAAAAAAAAAAACCTTGACCACACAAGAAGAACACCACTTGGATGAACCTAAATGAGAACTATTTTCAAATCTATAAATATAGTTTGCAAATACAAAGATGAGTAGAATTAAAGCACTTCAATGCTGTATTGAGCATATCAGGTAATCCAATGCAGAAGAATTATTAAATATTTATAGGATTCCTATTGTAGGAACTGCTTTCTAAGAATCAACATTTTCTGGGAACACAATCAGTGATCCCATATCCTAATACGCAGTTACTTCTATTGAAGTCACTATTTATGTCTACAGGTTTATGATTTCGCTTTATGCCTCTATTTCCAACCTTGAAAGACTTTCCTCCATCCAATTAGGAACATGATGGCACCACACAGGGCTTATTAATGCTTTGTTGTTGCAAGGAACACCCTGATAATTATGACTTTCTTGTAATAACAATAACAAAATCCAAGAAATCCGGTAGAATCAAATTCAAATGTCCATTTTTAAAAGTTTTAGGACGGGAGGGGAGATGTGAAAAAGGAGTTAATCCTCTTTATTGCCAAGGCCATCTACTGCCATTTCAGTAAAAACTACTCCAAGTCTTTGAAATGGGAATAAAAGTGGCGTTTGTGAAATCGGCCCTTCCGCTTACGGGTGATTTTACAAAGCTGTGCAGCGTGGACCCTCCCTGGGCCGCCCCCTCCGCTGACCACGGCTAGAGAATCCCCAGGCGGCGGGGCGGGCAGTGAGGGCGCACAGGAGACGGACACTGGGGGTCTCCAGGGACCCCGCTGCCTGCTCGCCCCCCTGCCCCCCGCCGGTCCTGCTACGCGCGCCTGTGAGCACCGGTGAGACCTCCGCCCCCTTCTTGCCCCCAGGCCCTGCCCTGCCCGAGTGCAGCCCCCCCACCCGGCACGCCCCCTCGTCATCACAGAGCAGCAAGCATTCGCACGAGCACGGGGAAGGCCACTTCCCGAGTGGGCATCGGGGCAGCGTGTGCAAGGTAGGCGAAGCCGCGGCGCCCTTGGGTGCTGGATGCACGCAGCGCCCCAAGACCCCTAGACCCCGGGTCTCCGACCCCCAAGTCGCCGACCCCCCCGAGGCTACGGCCCCCGCACCGGCCCCCCGACCCCGGTCCCCCCAGCCCCGTCCCCGCGGGGCGCGCTCACCTCGCCCGGTGCTGCTGTGCCGCTGCGCCGCCCCGACCCCCTGACCCCCGTCCCCCGATTCCTTGTTCCCTCGACCCACAGCCCCCCGGACCCCATCCCTCCGACCCCCTGACCCCCGTCCCCCTATTCCCTGTCCCCGAACCCCCATCCCCCTGCCCCCCTATTCCCACCCCCATCCCCTATCTCCCCGACCCCCCATCCCTCCGACCCCCTGAACCCCGTCCCCGATCCCTCCGACCCCCGACTCCCGTCCCCCTGATACCCTTGTCCCCCGACCCCCGACCCCCTCCCGGACCCGGCCGGCTGAGCGCACTCACCCTCCGGCGCTGCCCGCTGCGGCCGCGGAACTTTCCCCGCGCGGCTCCACCTCCCGGGGCCCGGTCCGGGGCCGGGCGGCCGGGGGGGTGGAGGGGGGGCGGGAGCGGCGGGCGGGCCCGCGCCCAGCGCCGACCGAGTGGCCGCCGGCCGAGCCCGCGCTGCGGCGCTGCCCGCTGCACTGCGTCCCCCGGGCCTGTGGGCGCGGCAACCCGACCCAGCCGCCGGCCTTGGGCTCCGCGCAGGTGGGCAGCGCCGGGGCCGGGGCCGCGCGTGGCCGTGCCCAGCAATCGGGGCCGCGTCAGCCGCGCGCTGCGGGCGCCTTCCCTCCCGGGCGGAGTCCGGACCCCTGCCCGCCCCCGCCCGCTCCCCTCCCCGCGGGAGCGACTCGCGGGCCGAAACTTTCCACGGTGCACTTGGCGGAACTGAGTCTGCGGTCGCGTCGCTCCTGGCCAGGTCACCTAGGACCTTCCCACGAGGATCTGGAGCCCCTGCTGCTCTCGGGACTCAGCACTGAGAAGTGAAGTGTGCAGGGGCTTCGGAAGGGCCGCGAGGAAGCCCGAGCAGCCAGGACGGGGCGCTAGGATGGGAGTAAAAGCCTCCCCCCACCCGACCTACACACGCTCGGGCGCAGCGCACCGTACACACGTGCACACAGACATGTATAGACACACAATGCACGCACTACACTCCCGCGAGCCACAGGTCACCTTTAATCTCGAAGTACTCCAGTACTTCTCCGAGGAGGAGGGAATTTGGAGATGTTAATTATGATCCCAAGTCTCAGAATAATGAAGGAAATTCAGGAGTGATGAGTGTTGGGCTGGGAAAGGTCATCTCTTCACCTACAGAGGCCATTCGCAGAGGCCTGGCGCAGAGCCAGTACAGAGGCAGAGCTGGAAAGGAGTCGGATGTTTCCTGGTGCAGTGTTCCCTCTGCCTGATAATCAGGATGTTCATTCTCCACCCTGGGAATCTGGAGGGCAGGGCAATTGTCCTGAAGCAGCCAATACGCGCTTGTTTATGGCAGAGAGCTTGCCCCGAGCAGGCTTTCATTCTTACCACACTTCCCAGCCCTCGCTGGTCCACCCTCTTTCCCCTGCAGGCTGGGAGCCAGGATCTCAGAGATTCTATCCCACTACCCTGCCCAAGTGACTTGAGGCCAATTAGGAACTCAGGGAATTGTGAAAGAGGGAAGAAGCAGGTGTTGACCAAATGAATAAAAACAAGTGTCTATTAGAAAGATTGCATTCATCTGGCGAAGATAAAGTAACAAAATAGAGACTAATACCCAAGAATAGCCAAGATAAGTACCAGGAGGTTCACTCCATGGCTTGGAGGCCAGCCCCACATGCTATGGGAAAGGGCAGCTCAGATAGAAAAGGGAGCACCAAATAAAGGGTGTTGGGAGGATCCTCCCAGGATATGCTGAAAGTAGACTGTAGACGGAGCATGATTGCCTCTCCGTGCCTCTTTTGCAAACCACAGCACCCAAAAGTAGAGAGAGAACAAAGGGGAATGCCCTGCCACAAAGGGCATGGGATGGGGGATGGAAGGGATCAGTGGTGGTGGAGGATGGGCAGTGGTGGAGGGATGGGTTCTCAATCACTGTATAATTGAAACCCAAGCACAAAAATTTGTAAGTCTACAACTGTACCTCATGGTGTTTCACTAATAAAAAAAAAAAACTTAAAAATAAATAAATAAATATCATCCTAAAGAGGTAATCAAGTTAAACCAAAAAAAAAAAAAAAACCCAAGTGTCTATTCTGTTCACCCAAATGTTGTCTGGTAAAAGTCAAGTTAACACATATGGAAATAAAAGTCATTGTCCAAGTCTCAACCATAGGTCTTAGCATCTTTGTGAAGCAAATCGTATGACAATCACCATCATACTTACAGAGAGCACAAGGAAGTAAGGGTAAGGAATGAGCTGTGTGAGGCTTGAAACCTGCACAAATAAACACTCTGGGTAATGTCGCAGGCACCTTTCAGATTCCTCCAACTGTCACCAGAAATCGCATATCTCCATATATTGATAGGTGTTGATGTTTTCTTTTTTTCTCCTGAGATAGCTCTTGTTTCTCTGTTCAGTGACGTCTCCTGAGTTTCTACACAGTAAGATCTGGATCTGAAATTTGGTTTGAATGGTGACTAAGAGCTGGTGTGCTCAAGGATCCTAAGTTCTGTGGACTGACACTGAGGCAGACCCAGCTCTCCTCATCCTGCACCTGGCCCTCTGCATAATCTGGATCAATGTTCCCAACCTTTCCAAAGTGGCCTCCTCCCACCCTGTGTTCTTTCCAGTGGTACCCTACCCTACCAGTTGGCCTCCTAGTCTCCTACCAATCCTCCACTCCCGTTTATGTGACTTTAACCTGTGACCTTATGGAATATCCTGGAAGTCTACAGTCGGTCATATGCCCCTTGCTTGAGAAATGCTGATCTAGAAGAAAGAAGAAGACAAGTTCGGAATTGATTGCATTCCTTGTAACACAATTGTAAAAGTGCCTGAGGTTAACATTTTTCAAATTTTTCTAGTTAAGATAGGAAAAAGTTAGCAGTGTACATATCCTTTCATATCAGCATGCACCAGAATATATAGCAATAGCATAAAGTTAGTTATAGCTCTAATTACCTTGTGTTATATAGGGGTCATAACCTAAATACTGAGGGGCTTTGGGGGATCAGCCCTGACAATAATGCCTGACTCAGTGATGGAAGTTCGATGGTTCAGTAGGTGGTCTGACAATGTGGTAGTTAGAGCCTGGTTCAGTGGGGCATACAGTGCCAGGGATCTAATTCTGCCACTAAAATCGGTTTTACACATGCTAGTCATATGCTTTGCCACTTTCATCTATATTCCCAACTCTCTATTTTTGACAATAATTTATAAATTTTAAAAAAGGAAGTTGATTGCTTCTCAGCCTTTTGGCTAAAATCAGGTGTACTATCTGTTCCTATCAGCTCAATTTCTGTTACACCCCCTATCCATGGACAATATGTTAAAAGGGCTAGAAAATGGAATGAAAATTTGCTCTATCCATTCCACACATCAACCTGGGTTTACAGCACTTCCAGGAACGTTGCATCCCCTTCAGGGGACATTTTTTAATAACCTAAAAAATTTATAAAGCTACAAAACGATAATATATGTGAGAAAAAGTACACTTTTCTGGATGAACCACATGGAACAAAACAGATGTGATTCAGTTGTTGTGAAGCAAAAAGTATTTGTTTTAAACTTCTGGAGGCCACTATCATGAAGCAGCATTGGTCACTCAGGGAAACAGCAGTGTCGGAGGGGAAACCAGCCAGTGTAGCTCTCCTGTTCTGTACCAATGCCTAAAAGAAATGAGACATTGGATCCAGTAGAAAGATTGGTTTCTTTACACTTTGAAGACTGCAATTCCAATTATTATTAAATTATTAAAAATCAGTTTGGGACAAGAGGGTGTAGGTGAGAATATTAGGGTACAGCTGATGATGTTGGGAGTCACTCACAGAAGTAGTCAGAGGGGAGTGGAAGGTGGCAGGGATCAAATACAGGCCTCCCACTGAATCTTTCCACTTGCTCCTTAGACCATAAAATCAGGTGGGTTTTTTGGCTTTGGGACACATCTAGAGACACTCTCAACATAGTGCTCAGGGGCGACTCCAAGATATGCTCAGTGTCAGGGATCAAACCTAGATACCCTGCATACAAAACATGAGCTTCCTTCCCAGACATTAAAGTTAATTTATTTTATTTTATTTTTATTAAAAACACCATAATTGACAACGTTGTTCATTATCCAGTTGTTTCAGGCAGCTAGAGTCCAACGCCACCAGGTTGACCTTCCCTCCAACAATGTCCCCATTTTCCTTCCTATCCCCAACCTGCCACCTTAAGCACATGACGAATTTACTTTACACTACTTGTTCCAGCAAAACTTTATGAAATGGCAAATAGAATGACCAGAAAATAAACTAGTAAGAGCCAATTTGTGATTGCTATATGATTTTAACCTATGTAAACAAGGGAAATAAAACCCTTTAATATAATATAGTTGGCGAAGGACAGGCGGGCAATACGAAGGCTTTTCCCAGCTCCTGCTGCATCTACCAGCACTTCTGCTCTTCTCTCTTTGAGGTCTTCCTTTATCGCATCTCTGCACTGCTTTGCGAGCTCAGATATTCGCTTGCGGTTGCTTGAGGCATACGCCAAACCACGTTGGTGAATAAGCTCAAGAGTTTTCAAAGACCGGTGTTTTTTTTGTGGCTATCTCTCTCTTGGTGGTCCTCGCACAATGATGGAGGTGCTGAACCAGTCAAAAGTATTCCTCGTCAATGTTGTCAATGACAGCATCTTCCCATGTTGCAGCAATAGTGCCAAAGAGGTCCCAGTTGGTGGTCGTTCTGGGAGTTCTCTTCTTAAACTTTGCAGCCCTTTCTCCCTGCTCTGTGAAGTAGAATTTTGCACAAAGGAGACGATGGTCTGATCCCGTTTGGAATTTTGGGACAACAGCAACATCGGTCAGGCAAAACCGTCAATTGAATATGATGTGGTCTTTTTCGTTGTGGAACCGTCCACCAGGAGACTCCCATGTCCAACGTTTAGATTCAGCCTTCTGGAACTGTGAGTTGGTATGGATGGTCTTGGTCAACATGATGAACTCAGACAGTCTCTCACCCTGTTCGTTCCATTCTAGGCCATGGGTTCTGATGTGGAGTTCTTCGGCTCATCATCTCGGTTCTATCTTGGCATTAAAATCACTGACAATGATCGTTTAGAAGGTGTGGTCTTCTTTATAGAACTTCTCCAGCTCCATGTGGAACTTCTCAATTTCTCCTTCATCATAATTGGATGTTGGTGCATAGACAATGAAGATAGAAACTGCTGGCATTGAGCCACATCTATTCAAGTGTAATCATCTGATTCGAGTTGTTAGGCATTTGAATGAATCCATTCTCATGGCCAAGTTCGTGTTGACAAGGACACCGATGCCTCGGACGCCTCTTTTATTGCATGTTCAAAGGAACATTTCTTCTCCTGTGTCGAAAACGGCATGATGTGATTGATGCCTTCTTGTCTTGGTCAGACCAATGATGTCGTACTTGATCTTTTGCACTTGTACCATCAGTCCTTGATGGATGAATCTGATGCTAGCATATGTGCATTGAAAGTACAGACAATCATTTTGCCTGTCCTTCGCCAATTGCAAGACCAAGATGACTGCCCTCTGACATCCTGATGGATCTATCACATCTTCCAGAAGGGCAATGGAGAAGATTATCCATGACTTCTACTCAGATCTCTTCAATAGCCACGTCTACCTGCCCACATACCAAATTCCACAGGATGGATATGTCGTTCCCAACTTTCTCCCTTCCAAAATCCGACACACCATTTCGTCAGTAAAGAAATGAACAGCACCCGGCCCAGACAAGGTCAGACCTGAACACCTGAAGAACCTGCCATCAATACTCATCAATACACTTGCTCGGCTCTTCACACGCTACCTGTGTGAATGCAAGGTTCCATCCCAATCAAATACCAGCAGGACTGTACTACTGTACATAGGAAGAGAGACATCCAAAACATTGGCAACTATCGCCCAATCTACCTGTTGTCTGTCGTCTACAAGCTGTTTGCTCAAGTCATCCTGAATAAGATTGGCAGAACACTAGATGAAGGACAACCATGCGAGCAAACAGGGTTCCGAAAAGGTCAGCACAATCGACCATATCCACACGGTAACCAAACTCATTGAGGTTTCTCAGGAGTTCAAGATGCCGCTCTAATGTTCATTGATTTAAAGAAGGCCTTTGATTCTGTTCAGACTGAAGTGTTCATCGAAGCCCTAGTCTCTATGAACAGAGCGTTCAATCTCAATACATCAGGATCTTCCATGAGCTGTATTATGGATTCACCATCAGGATCTCACCATTCTACAAGGAAGTGATCATCCATGTCAAGAGAGGGATTCAGCAGGGTGATACCATTTCACCGAAACTCTTCAGTGCCACCCTTGAGAATGTCATGTGACGACTGGAATGGGAAGGAATGGGAGTGAAGATAGACGATCGGCAACTACACCACCTTCGCTTCGCTGATGACATCATTCTAATAACACCAAACATTAGCCAAGCTGCACAAATGCTGGCCGACTTCAACTGTGAGTGTGAAAAGGTCAGACTCCAGCTGAATCCCACGAAGACAATGTTTATGAGGTATGATCTCGTTCCTGACGTTCCATTCACTCTCAATGGAATGAACATCTCCAAATGCAACAGTTATGTGTACCTAGATCGAGAAATAAACATGAAGAATGACCTGGCACATGAGTTGCGCAGGAGAAAGAGCGGCTTGGAATGCCTTCAAGAGCGTCGAAGAAATAGCTAAGAGGATGAAGAACCTCTGGCTCCGGGCACATCTCTTCGATTCCACTATTCTTTCTGCATTAACATACGCCTCAGAGACCTGGGCCCTACAAAAACAGGTTGAGAATGCTATTCGGGTCTCCCAAAGAGGAATCGAATGAGCTATGCTTGGAGTATCATGCTTCACTCCAATGAGAGAAACAATCCGTAGTTCTGACCTCCATCGGAAGTCAAGAATCAGGGATACTGTCTCATTTGCCAAAGTGTCAAAATCAGATGGGATAGACACATAATGCGATTTGGAGATGACCGCTGGGACTAGAGCCATTATGAACTGGATTCTATAGGACATCAAAAGATCGCCTGGCCACCTACCTATGAGATGGTCAGACTTCTTCGTCAAGACCCTGAATGATTGGTTTGAGGCTCTTCATGTTCCTAGATCAAGCAGACGTCATTGGGCTACACTAGCACGCAAAGGGACGAATGGAGATGTTACTGGCACCTGCTTGAGCAAATCGATGAGTAACAGATGTCAAGTGATCACGTGATGAAGACATTTTTCATAAACAATGCTTTGGGAATCAGTTTTTGTTATTTTAACTTCCAAACCATCATATGGAGCGATTAATGTGGTAACAGTATGACAATATATACAAAGTTCTGGAAATGTGTAATTTTATATTGTCAGATCATTTTATATTCTTAGTAAGAAAACTGGATGTGTAAAAAATCGTTTAAGTCACCCTCGACCCCTGAGTATAGAAAGTAGAAGGACAAAGGAAAAAGTACATCAAGGGAGAAAGTAAGATGAGGAAGGGAAGTAATAGGGAGCAGGGGTTAAATGCCTCGGGTATATCAGCAATATGGGGAGTGGTACAACTATATATCCAAAACACAGAGTTGGCAACACTGAAAACATGAGATCCAAATTACAACCACCAAACATTGAATGATTTGTTTCTGTCAAGGTGGCAGGCTGGCAGGGGGGAGGGGAGAGAGAGAGGAGAGGGAGTGCAGTGGAGGGAACTTGGGAATACTGGTGGAGGGAAGTTAACACTAGTGATAGAATTGGAGCTGGAACATTATATTTCCAAAACTCAACTATCAGTTACTTTGTATGTAATAATTTTTTAAGAATATCAATAACTTTTTATCTAATACCAAAAAATATAAAAATTTTACAGTTACAAAATGCCTAAATTAAACTCCAATAACTAGTTTCAGCTATATATGGTGTAGGTATTGAAATTTAAATATAGAAACATTTTACACAATTCAAGGTCAAACCTCTCCATCTTACTAGGATCCTTGAGAACTATAAGCCAAAGCCTTCCAGGAGACAAAGGGCAGTAGTAAAGCTCATTCTTTGAAATTCGTTTACTTTGCTTTCTAAGAGACACATCTGGTCACTCAAGTCATGCCCTGATCATTCAAGTATGTTCTTTTCTTGCGGGGTGGAGGTTCCCAGGCCACGCTGAGGGACCAGTGATGCTCATACTGACTGTAGAGGCCTAACGGTTCAGTGCTTGCACTCCATGCTGTGGTGCTACTTTGACCCAGTGGTTCTGAAGGTCATCAGGATGAGCCTAGTCAGGCTCAGGGACCTCCCTCAATGCTCTCGGTTGTGCTTGAGGACCATGCAATGTCAAGGACCAAATCTAAGCCCTGATCTCTGAACTCTCTCCACAGACCACCTCAAATTATGTTGACTCTGATTTTAAATAGCTCTAA